TCTCCACAATTTCTTGTCACTCTAGCTCTTAGTAAAATGTGTCTTTCCAAATAAGAAATTTCAACTGTCTCTTTTTGATGTTAAGTATAAGTGTTGTTTTAGTTTCCAGTTTCTCTAAAACGTCTTCGTTGCTCACGATCCATTTCAGTCACTTTATATCTATCTATCTATCTATCTATCTATCTATCTATCTATCTATCTATCTCAGTCTATACCTTAACTATCTATCTATCTATCTATCTCAGTCACTTTATATCTATCTATTAGGTTGGTGCAAAAATAATGACGTAATAATGTCATTTTTTGACGTATTTTTTAACGTCAAAAAACGACATTCTTACGTCATTATTTTTGCACCAACCTAATATCTATCTATCTCAGCCTGATCATATCTATCTATCTATCTCGGTCTGTTGATCAATATCTATCTATCTACCTGTCTGTTCATATCTATCTATCTATCTATCTATCTATCTATCTATATATATATCTCAGCCTGTTCATATCTATCTATCTATCTATCTATCTCAGCCTGTTCATATCTATCTATCTATCTATCTATCTATCTATCTATCTATCTATCTCAGCCTGTTCATATCTATCTATCTATCTATCTATCTATCTATCTCATCCTGTTCATATCTATCTATCTATCTATCTATCTATCTATCTATCTATCTATCTATCTATCTATCTATCAGCCTGTTCATATCTATCTATCTATCTATCTATCTATCTATCTATCTATCTATCTATCTATCAACGTCCCTTCATATATATCTGTCAATTCATTTGAATATGTTCATATCTATCTCAATCTGTTTATATATGCCTGTGTGTCTATATATCCATCCCAATCTTTTCCTTGTTTATCTATCTATCTATCTATCTATCTATCTATCTATCTCATTATTTTTCATTTTTCTCTGAATTAGTTCATATTTATCTATCTGAATTTTCATAACTCTCTCATATATTTGTAACCATATATGTCTGCATATCTATATCTGTATATATATATGTCTGCATATCTATATCTGTATATATATATATATATATATATATTCTATACTCTCTCTCCCATATATATATATATATATATATATATATGTGTGTGTGTGTGTGTGTGTGTGTGTCAATATCTTTATTTTATTTGCCAATACATCGAAGTGCCTGTCAGTTTGGCCCTCTTCTCTTTGTCTACGTTATTAACAAATTTTCATATATATCTCTTCTAGATTATTGAATTGTAGACATGTCTTGCTTCACGCATATCACGTATAAAACTCTGACAACGTACCTTTGCTCGTGCTTCCCCGCTCTCTCACAAACTCTCTCTCTCTCTCTCTCTCTCTCTCTCTCTCTCTCTTTCTGTCTCTGTCTCAATTCATCTTTGGTGTTAATTATCTTTTCATCCGATTAAATATCTATTACCCCATCTTGTTGTTATTCAAGGTAATTTATGGACAGAGCGCAATTAATCTCACGCTTCATCGATTTGCTTCTTTTCACTCTCCGCTTTTTTCTTGCCTCTTGTTTTTTTTTATCATTTTTTTATTCAATTCAAAACTTGCTACAATAGAGACTTATCTGCCCACAAATTGTATCATATTTCTTTCCATCTATCTATCTATCTATCTATCTATCTATCTATCTATCTATCTATCACAGTCTATTCATATCTATCTATCTAGTTTGAGTCATCATATCTATCTATCTATCTATCTATCTATCTTCGTCTCTTCAAATGTATATCTAGTTTCAGTCTCATCATATCTATCTATCTACCTGTCTGTTCATATCTATCTATCTATCTATCTATCTATCTAGCTAGCTAGATTGAGTCATCATATCTATCTATCTATCTATCTATCTATCTATCTATCTATCTATCTATCTTCGTCTCTTCAAATGTATATCTAGTTTCAGTCTCATCATATCTATCTATCTACCTGTCTGTTCATATCTATCTATCTATCTATCTATCTATCTATCTATCTATCTATCTATCTATCTATCTTCGTCTCTTCAAATGTATATCTAGTTTCAGTCTCATCATATCTATCTATCTACCTGTCTGTTCATATCTATCTATCTATCTATCTATCTATCTATCTATCTATCTATCTATCTATCTAGTTTGAGTCATCATATCTATCTATCTATCTATCTATCTATCTATCTATCTATCTATCTATCTTCGTCTCTTCAAATGTATATCTAGTTTCAGTCTCATCATATCTATCTATCTACCTGTCTGTTCATATCTATCTATCTATCTATCTATCTATCTATCTATCTATCTATCTATCTAGTTTGAGTCATCATATCTATCTATCTATCTTCGTCTCTTCAAATGTATATCTAGTTTCAGTCTCATCATATCTATCTATCTACCTGTCTGTTCATATCTATCTATCTATCTATCTATCTATCTTCAATCTCATCATATCTATCGATCCATCTATTTTGGCCTATATATTTTGTCTATATCGCCTGAGGATACCAATAGGTTGAAACTAAGTGATCGGCTGATCTTATTTTTTTAAACGCACACAGACACATACACACACACACACACACAACACACACACATATATAAATATATATATAGAGAGAGAAAGATGTGTGTGTGCATATATATATACATATATATATATATATATATATATATATGTTTCGCAATAGCTATTTACATTATCTATTTTATGCATTTCTCCCGCTGTCTCCATTCTCACTTTTCAAAAACATACGTACCTACACACATGGAGATTATAAGACAGATAAAATAGGGACAACTATATGTTCATCATCACCATCAGTTCTATGACCCATCGATGTTATTGGCTCCCTATATATAGTCAGATTTTAATCATTTCACACGAGGCAAGGGCAATAAGCCACTAATACTCAAGGGAAATCTGAGTGTGAAACGACATAAAATAAAAGAAAAACATTAATACTAATCGAGGACAATAAAAGGACAAAAATTAAGAAGAAAAGATAACGATTGACATTTCTTTTAAATTGTTGAAGATCATATTTGACTGGAAAGCAAGAAGCCGAAAGAGAGTCACATGAGCGAGAATTGCTCTAGAAGAAACTCTTAACATAGAACTTACGGTTGCAGCTAGCCATTTGAACTGTAAAATGATAAGATCTTGCCGGATGTTAACAATAACCTGGACTGAATATGTAAGAAACTATAGTGCTTTAAGAACGAGACGACTCATGAGAAAAGAAGGTTGGAAAATTTGACACTCACTGGATATACTCAAGTAAATTGGTTCGCCTCTCTTCCGGTTCATCCACTTCTCCGCATTTTCTTTCTTTTTTTTTTAACAGGAATAGGGGATTATCTTTGTTCCCTATTTAGGATTGGTTTTCTGGTTCCTTCTAAAGACTTTTCATCCTCTTTCACTACCAGTTGCTACTAGCGTCTCAGTGGTATGATTGCCTTTCTTGGGGTGAATTGATTTTTATAAAAAAAAAAAGGTGATAGATTGAGACATCGACTGACGTAAATAAAGAGCATGTGTAAATAGATTGTAGAAGAGGAGTTGGGCGAGATTGTAAAAAGATAAAACCCGATATTGAACTCTCAGCCGCTATAAATTTAGCAAATTTTAAACAATAGATAGATAGATAGATAGATAGATAGGAACAAGCCGGTGGAGATAGATAGATAGATAGATAGATAGATAGATAGATAGATAGAAAGTTAGATAAATAGCTAGCATAATAGATAGATAGATAGATAGATAGATAGATAGATAGATAGATAGGAACAAGCCGGTGGAGATAGATAGATAGATAGATAGATAGATAGATAGATAGATAGATAGATAGATAGATAGCATAATATATATATAGATAGATAGATAGGAACAAACCGGTGGAGATAGATAGATAGATAGATAGATAGATAGATAGATAGATAGATAGATAGATAGATAATATTACAATCTCCATATATGTGTATGTACATGTTTTTGGAAAGTGAGAATGGAGACAGCGGAAGAAATTCATAAAATAGATAATGTAAATGATGTAAATAGCTATTGCCAAAGATATATATATATATATATATATATATATATATATATATATGTATACAGACATCTCTCTCTCTATACCCACATATATATATATATATATATATGTGTGTGTGTGTGTGTGTGTGTGTGTGTGTGTGTGTGTTAAGAATTAGGAGATCAGCTAATCACTTGGTTTCAACCTATCGGTATCCTTGGGCGATATAGACAAAATATATCGGCAGAAATAGATGGATCGATAGATATGATTTGACTGAAGATCGATAGATAGATAGATAGATAGATAGATAGATAGATAGATAGATAGATAGATAGATAGATAGATATGAACATACTTGGATAGACAGATATATAATCTTAGATTTATATAAAGTTAGAGGCATGCGAAACGACTTGAGATGAATAGAATATATTCATTCAATAAGTCTCCGTTCTCCAAATTGCAACTGGGGTCAATGTTGACCCAGGGAATCACTCAGATTAGCCCCCTGATGCGAATCAGAAAGATTGAAGTATTGAAGAGTTGTCCAATCGACACAGGCGACCAGATGGTGTTTTCTCAAGCTGGCGAGGCGAGCGGGGAACTCGACTAAGACAACCGTCCAGTCAGCTTTGCCGACAAACTGATGTATCCCCGGCGCACGTTCCTTTGTGTCAAATTTTTAATTGGGTCGTTTGAGGTGGAAAATATGAAAAGTGGAGATGGAAGTGTAAGGTGGAGGCCCGATTTGTGCAAAGATGCAGGGTGTTTCGCTTTTGCGCGGAACAAAAGAACTGTTATAGTCGAAGTCATTAACGGATTTGCACAAAAGAGGCGAGAAGCGCTAATAACAACAACGGAAAATGAAAGAAAAGGTTTCTTCTTGAAGAAAGAGGAAACTGAAAGTTTATAGCAGAGACCGGCTCCGTTGTGGCAAACACGGCCTCCAGAAAGAGTGAAGAAAATCAAAACTCGAAACGAATACGCGTCTTTAGACGAGTTTAATTCATTTTGAATCGGCTATATCCACTAGATTTACGCATTTGCAATCACAGACTCGATCTAAACAATAGAGGATTATATTCTCTATTATTTAATATCCGTGTCTAAGATCTACCACCTGTTTGCCACTTTACCAGAGTTACGGGTTATATATATATATATATATATATATATATATATATATATATATATATATATATATATATATATATATATGTGAACACTGAAGTCAACGTTCAAAGGCGACAGGCTGTTTCATGCTAGACTCAATCGGCGGTCTGACATAAAAATAGTTAATATATATATATATATATATATATATATATATTAGATTGCAAAAATAATGACGTAATAATGTTGTTTTTTTTAGCTTAAAAATACGTCAAAAACGACATTATTACGTCATTATTTTTGCACCAACCTATATATATGTTTAAAAATAATTTATATATATATATATATATATATATATATATATATATATATATATATATATATATATAATGTTTTATTAAAAACGACAGATAGGGTACTACGGTTAAGCTTTTTATTTAATTTTTCTTGTGTTCGTACAAGAGCTTTTTTTTTCTGGACAAAGGGTGTGTAAGAACTGTCCAAATGTTTTATATTTCCGAGCGCTTTCAGCTATACCTTTAGCCATTATCAAGGATGATTCGATTTTTTCAGCTTAATTGAGTGTGTGCGTTCTGTGTATGTCTTAGTGTGTGGTAGAGATGTTTTTAATTTCCGAATACGGCTAGCACATTGTGGCTTTGGTGGTTTTTAATGAAACATGCATAAAGGAAGGATTGCTGCCTAAATATACAACTATATATAGTTGTATATTTAGGCAGCAATCCTTCCTATATATATATAAATTGGAAATACAAAAGTTGTCTCCATTTCAGGGAAAAAGTCCTCGTGAATTTGAATGTGATATAGAACGATAAAAAAAACAGCCGTAAAACGAACAGTAAAATGCTTTGAATTTACATATACTGATTCACAGACAATTTAACCCTTTGAATGTGAAAATACTAGGGAAAATAAAAGTTATTTGAAAGAAAATGTTGGTATTTTTCTTAATCAATTTTCTAAGGCTATCAAGAAATTGATTCGTGGACTCGAAAGGATTAAAACAAAAATAAACACCCATAGTATATCTAGATTATTTAACCAAACCTGTTTGAATGAAAATATGGAGAAATACACACACACACACACACAAAATATATATATATATATATATATATATATATATATATATATATATATATATATATATATATATATAAGATATGATTGGTGTATACGAAATAAATTCCTATAACTAGCAATCACTATTCTTAAAAGAGTGCTCAATACAAAGTAGAGCGAATATAATTATTTATTTTAAAATTTATGTTATAATTTTTAAATAAATAACTATATATATATATAGTGCGTGTGTTTGCGTGCCTGTGCGCGCGTGCGTGTGTTTGCGTGCCTGTGCGCGTGCGTGCGTTTGTGTGTGTGTGTGTGTGTGTGTGTGTGTGTGTGTGTGTGTGTGTGTGTCAGTCAGTGTGGGGAACCAAAGATCGTTATTTACCATTTCAAGCCGAGTGCGTCGCCATTTTCCTTACCAGTTCGAAACCGTTAATGTGTTTTCTTCCTTTTTTTTATGGAAGAGCGTAGATTGCTGGTTAACCAGACGTTATCCTGGATTGCCAAGAGGAGTCGAAGTGTGTGATTTAAAAAGAGGGAATTTGTAGCCGACATACATGTCGATACCTGATCATTATCGCCTGGGTCGCCGTGAAGAGAGAGTATGATGTTAAAAGACACGAACCCCTAATGAACCACGACTAAAATCATCACTGATGCTGTGGGCCAAAGCATAAAAGAAATGTATTTGACGAAAGAATATAAATGATTTTATTGACATTTTTTTAATCGTTTCTCCTCATATAAGGCGATAGAGCCACTAATACTCCAGTTGCTACTAAGGTTGAAAGCAAATGGGAAAGACATCAGTGAGAGGAAAGGAGAATAAAATTATAAGGCTCAGAAAAACAGAAGATGACGATTGATGTTGCACTGAAATATTTGAAGACTGGAGGTTGTAAGAAAGTAAGAAATCTGAAGAGAGTTCCACAGGCGCGAAGGTAAGAAAAAAGAAACTATTAGAATAGAAATCTAGCAATTTCAACAGTAAAGCGAGAATACCTAGTTGCCAATCTAGTAATACGCTTAAATTCATTCAGTAGTGGTGGCCAAAAAGGATAGTTCATCAAAATAATTGCCATGGAAATATCTGTACAAAAGAAAGTGCGAAAGTGACTGAAGCCGAAATGCAAGGAGAGGGCCGATAAAATTATAGACGTTTCTTTGGATTTTCTCAAGAATTTCGAAATATACAATACGAGTCAAAAAAATAAACGCACTAATAAAAAGACGATTTTTGTATTTTCAGCAAGACAAGTG